GAGCACAAGAAATGGGAACATAGTAAAGCACAAAGAAATTTAGGCAAGGTTCAGAGTTCATTCAGGGCATGTTTGACAATATGTTTGATGGTGCCTCCGAAATGTTACAGACCTCAGTCTTCATTTGTTCTAGAAAGAACATGGCTTCTGGACCATTCAGTTAAAAGGTTTGAATACTGCACAATCTGGTTTATGTGCATTAAGTATGGATGCTGGTTAACATCAACCTAACTTAAGCTCCCAAATACTTATGCCCTCCAAACTAACACCCAAATGCTAGGGTCTCTTTAACCTTTAGAATAGGGGACTGTCATGGGGTGGAAGGGTGCAGAGAGGTATAGAGAGGGCCTAAGGGCTCTGGGGGCCATAGGAGGGCCACTCCTTGAGTGCAGTGCTGGGTTATGGGGTCTTTAAAAGTGAGGTGGACGCCATTTTCCCCTCATGGGTGTCCAGTGCAGTTTATGCAACTGGAGACTAAGACCTGATGATTTTCTGTCAGAGTTCTGAGAAGGTGGTCCTTATCTTCAGGGCAGACACCCAGGACCAGGCAGAAACTTGACGTAGGCAGGTGACAGCTAGCAAAAGGGGACAAGGAGAGTTCTTCAGGGTGATACCAGCAGGAGTATGACACCAGCAAAGCCATCTGGACAAGGCATGTGTCAAATCAAATGCTTTAAGAAAAGACTTCATTCGCTTCAGGAACCTCCTCTGCATTTCCTCATTTTAAGGAGAAGAACTTGACTAAAATGGTTGATTCTGCTTTACTATAAGGAAAAAAAGGTTTTCTTTCTTAAAGAACAGAGGCAAGAGCCAATTAGGAAGGTATTGCATGAGTCCCAGTGTTAAGGGTCTGGGGAACATTCATGGCACTGGAAAGGCAAAGTGGTCAAATCTAACATTTGAAAGAGCTGAAAGAAATGTGGTTAGGTAGAACATATTTTCAGGGGCTAGAAAAGTTACTTTTGCTTTCTTTCCTCTTATCAAAGCACTGCTACAGATAAACTGCTTTGAATTTCTAGTGTGATTAGAAAGTTAAAACACACATACACACTCACACACACACATAACCTTTGCCTGGTTATTGAGGTGGTTTACAAAATGGTTTATCGTAATTTGTCACCGTGCTGACACATGAATTAGGAACCAGTGTGGTGGGACCTGTGAGAGACTATGCACAGACCCCAGGCCCACCCCACAGAGTGGCTTTCTTCCTTGCTGCTTGCCTTTTCCTGGGGAAACCATTTGCTAAAGTGTATTTGTTAATATGGAGGCTCAGGGGTCTGGGACAGAGCTCCTTTGAGCCTACTGGTAGGTGATATTTATGTCCCCCTGACCAGATTGGCACTTCCTAATCAATTCACCAATGGCAACTAGTACAGTGGTTCTGAGTTCACCCCCTGAGGCCACATTGCTTACCAGAGGTCTCTTGGGCCCAGTTCTCGGTCACTGGTTGTACATAGCTACTTACTCTTACTGCACCTCAGTTTCTGCATCTGAAAAATGGGATAACAAGAGTGCCTGCCTCACTGAGGTTCTTGTGAGTGTTAACGCGTGTGAATCCTTATACTGTTGTCTGGCACAGAGAAGGCACAACTCTTATGTGGCCGATGGGATTGTAAATGTGAAGGACTTATATTGACCTGTGATCCTCTCAAAGCTCAGGGCGAACTTGCTTATAATCTGGCACTAAGGGGATCAGTCAGGTTGGGAGTGTAGCTCAGTGATAAGTGCTTGCCTAGCATGTGTGAGGCCCTGGGTTTGGTACCCAGGACCACAAAAAAGAGGGGAGGTTATCCTAAGGTCGTGGGAGGGGAGAAGTGAGTGGTGTGAGGAGGGGCACAGGGATCCCCTGAGTTTTGCAGGTTCTCTCTCTTCCCTCTATTCCTATCTCTTGGCTCCCCTTCTTGCCAATATACCCTATCAGAAGAATTAATAAAAGCTAAGAAAAGAGATGCTAAATATGAGTTAAGAATACTAAGCCAGGTGTGGTGGTGCATGCCTGTAATTCCAGCGACTTGGGAGGCTGAGGCAGGAGGATCTTCAGTTCAAGGCCAGCCTCAAAAATTTAGCAAGGCGCTAACCAACTCAGTGAGACCCTGTCTCTAAATAAAGTACAAAAAAGGGCTGGGGTTGTGACTCAGTGGTTAAGCACCTCTGGATTGAATTCCTGGTACCAAAAGAAAAAAAAAATTATCCATCTGCCAACACTTTGCAAATCAAATACACCAAATACCTGCACCTAAGGCAGCCTCTTAGGATCTCTGAATTAGACACACAGCAGCAAATTCTTGCAGGTGAATAGAAAGTTCCTAAAATGCCTAATTGCATAGGGCATTATTTTGGGCAGTCCTGAAAGAGAATTGAATTAAGACACTGGATGAAGCAGTCAAAAGATGTTTATGCAACTTGGTAATGAAGCCCATTAGGTAGTGATTTTGTCTTTTGTAGAGGACATGGGTTATTTCCCCGCAGCCTCTCTGGAAACAGGAAATGTGGAACCAGTTGAAAGATGGCTCAGAAGGTGTAGATGGGAATTGACAACATGTGGGTGATAGCTCCAAGGGCATGAATGTGGGAGAGGAAGTGGGGGATTCTGTCTTGGGCAGGGGGCCTTTGTTAAAGATGAAGAGCAGGTAAATGGGCAAGGGATCCCAGAGGGGGTGGGGATGTCACTCAGATTGCACCTGCAGAAAGCAGTACTGTAACATAACAGGGAAAAAAGCCAGGGGTAAGAGTGAAGCTATATAACTTGCATTTTTAAAAATTTTAATTATAGTAAAATTTACTATATTAACTTTTTTTTTTGTTTGTACTGGGGATTGAGCCTAGGGGTGCTTTACACTGAACCATATCCCCAGTCCATTTTAAATTATTTTTTTATTTTTGAGACATGGCCTCTTCACTAAGTTGCTAAGGCTGGCTTTGAACTTGTGATCCTCGTGCCTCAGCTTCCCAGGCTGCTGGGATTACTAGCATGTGCCATCATTCCTGGTGCTATACCACATTTGTTTATCCATTCATCCATGATGGACATTTGGACTGTTTCCACTTCTAAATTTACACAGCTTTTTCTTGGGAAAAATTTTAGTTCTTAAAAGGAGATAGCATCGGGTGTGGTGGTGCACACTTGTCTTCCAGGTAACTCCGGAGGCTGAAGTAGGAGGATCACAAGTTCAAAGCCAGCCTCAGCAACTTAGTGAGGCTCTAAGCAACTTAGTGAGATTCTGTCTTAAAATAAAATATAAAGAGGCTGGGGATGTGGCTCAGTGGTTAAATGCCCCTGGGTTCAATCCCTGGTACCAAAATAAATAAATAAATAAATAAATAAATAAATAAATAAATAAATAAATAAAAAGGGCTGGGATGTGGCTCAGTGGTAAGTACCTTTGGAGTCAATCCCTGGCACCCCCACCTCCAAATAAAAATAAAAAAATAAAAAGGAGAGAGCAATAAATTAGGTTGAGTTGCTTAGGATTACTAACATGAGGGTGAGGATAGGCAGGGCCATTGATGTGTTAAAAATATATTAAGTATGAGACAGATGCTAGCCAGTAGCAAATTAGAGAAAAAGATGGTATATATAGTTTGGCAAAGTGCTTTTGTTTCTGATAACCCTCTTATGCACATCATTGGTGTCTTGCTGCCTGCGTTGGGAGCATTTTAGAGGTCCTAAGGCTTCTATCAATTGTCTTTCTCTAAAGCCTTGCTGACACTTCTTAAGTGAACCTTAAGCTTATGTGCAGTTAATCTCTGCTGTACTTTATTTTGTCTCCAAAAAGACTGGGAGAGAAGACTATGTCATTTTGTTGAGATTTTCCCCCCACGCCTAGGGACATTGTATGGCACTTGAGCTCAACAAATCTGTCTGTAGGACCACTCATAACAACATGGTGTATTGTTATCTACTTCTGCTAGATGCTTTTGAGTGTGTGTGGTGCTAGGGATCAAACTCAGGGCCTTGCAAATACTTTAGGCAAGTGCTCTACCATTGAGCAGCACCCCAGCCCAGAAGCCAAATGTTAGGGTCAAAGGTAACTATATATTTTTAAAAATAAGATCTCTTTCTTTTTTAAAAATATTTTTTTTTAGTATTCGATGGACCTTTGTTTTATTTTATTTATGTGTGGTGCTGAGACTCAAACCCAGTGCCTCACACATGCTAGGCAAGCTGTGCTACCACTAAGCCACAGGATAAGTATGTTTCTAATGTGGGGTATAGACTAATGTGGCCAGTACTGTGTGAAAACACAGAAGTGGCTGGTGTTGGGGAGAAAGCATTGGGCCAGATATGCCGAGGCCTCTGCTCCAGAATCGACTGTGCTGTCCAGAAGGGCAGGATGGGGTAGGGGGAGGTTTGGGCAAGTCCTTTGCTTTCATTTTGTTCTTTTATAAGATGAGCCTTGTGGTGAGTGCACACAGAAGCAATGGTATGGAGGTTACTCGATTTTTCAGTCCTTCAGGCAGGTGTATTAAAGGAGGATCCGTGGTCGATCCTCTAGGATCTGCCGGATTCCATGGTGGGCTTGTATCCTGGCATTGTACAGGCTTCCCTGATGTAATGCAGTGGTGATGGTTTACTTAATAACTGTTTCAGGGTTTTGAGGAGGGGGTGAGTGGGCATGGGGGCAGGAAAGATGGTGGAATGAGATGGACATCATTACCCTAGGTACATGTATGACTGCACATATGGTGAGACACTACATCATGTATAACCAGAGAAATGAAAAGTTGTGCTGCAATTGTGTACTATAGTGAATCAAAATGCATCCTGCTGTCATATATACCTAATTAAAATAAATTAATTAAAGAACTGTTTCAGGGTTTTGAATTAGCTAACACCATCTTCCACTAGAAGAGAAGAAAATCTAGATTCCTACTTAGAGTGTGATCATTTGGGGGCTTCTGCTAGAGATCACAGAGGCTTCTTTCACACATGTGCCAATGAATGTGCTTCTGAAGCTGATTACACCAATGTTAATCTCACTGTTGTATCTCTACAGGGAAACTTTATGGCAATGTTCCTTTTATAGAAGAAAGACACAGACATCGGTATGAGGTATGCCTTTCACACAGAATCACTATGGAATGTGGATGCTTAGTGTGAAGAACCCCAGTGATTATAAGCAGGCCCTCTGGAGAAAGTTTCTAGCCCCATAGCATCCAGAGGGCCAGGGAAGACATGCCAGATTTCCCACAGCTTTCAGATGAGGTGGGTGGGGGTAGGAGATTCTTCTCTCCTTGGCTTTCCAGAGGCAAAAGCTTTCAGTGACTGCACACGGGCATATCAGGGTTCTCTGTTAACTCCAACCACCATCTTCCAGAGCAAGATAAGCCCTGCATTCCCCTTCCTAACCCCTGCCCTTTATTTTCCAGGTTTGAGAAAATGGCAGTAGCTCCAAAGAGAGACCAAATGCCTCTTGGGATAGGGATGAGTTCCTACATATTATATGGTGGATTCTAGATTTAGGAAACCTCTTTGGCAGCTTACATTGAGCTTGACGTTTAGTGTCACATGGTTAAGAGTGGTTAGGAGTTGAGATTGCCACATGAGAAGCACAGGTGCCCAGAACTGTAGATTGTCTGTACCAAAATTAATTAATATATCAATTATGATGCTTTTGGTTGTAATGAACAGAAATCTCTATTAGTCATTCAAATAAGTCTAAACAATAATGAAATTTATTATCTCAAGTAACAGGTAGTCCAGAGCCTGGGTAGACTCCAGGCATGGAATAGTTAGGGCTTCTGTCACCTCTGTGGTTTTCTTGGCCCTACCCTTTTCTGTGGGTGTCTGCTTTGCCCTCTGACTAGTCTCTCTCACAGTTGCAGAATGGCTGCCAGCAGCAACTGAGGTGACATGCAGTTTTTCTTCAGTCTGATTGGGTTACCTTAGTTTACTTTACCAGTCTGTGTATTAGTAACCATTTTAACCTTTTGGTGGGTTTAAATCTGGGTTTTGTTTGTTTGTTTTTTTGGTACTACGGATTGAACCCAGGGATGCTTAACCACTAAGCTGAGTTGCGTAGTTAAGTTGCGTAGGGTCTTGCTAAGTTGCCCAGTCTGGCCTTGAACTTGTGATCCTCCTGCCTCAGCCTCCCAAGTTGCTGGGATTATAGGAGTGCACAACTGCACCTGGCTTAAACCTGGGTTTTTGCAACATTCATCTACCAAGAGGGATTGGTTTATCTTATTTGGTTTAGACCAATTGAGGTCAACCTCTGAAGTGGGACAGACAGAGTTCCAAGTCCAAGGAAAAGAACAGTTTCAATCCTCAAACAAATTTATTCTTTGGAGAAAGATAGTTAAGTACACACCACTCAAGGAAGAAGCAAGTACAGGTTGTAACTAGCTAGTCTCAAAGTTCCAAGTCAGAATATCTGTGTCATAGTTCTACTTTTTTGAATCTCATCTTTGAGTGATAGAAGGTGGACCTCTCACATTGAAGTGATGGGTTTAGACTTAATGTCTTAAGTTCATTATGAGTTTAAAATTAGGCTTTGGGTATTAAGTAGAGAAATTAAGTACTAGTTAGAGAATCCCTGAAATGGAAAAATCCACCCAAACAATAAAGGATTGTTTCACAAGCTCATATGTCTGTATTGCACTGCAGCTCAAAAACACTTTCCTAGCTGGATATGGTGGTGCACGCCTGTAATCCCAGGAGCTTTGGAGGCTGGGGCAGGAAGATCATGAGTTTAAAGGCAGCCTCAGCAAAAGCAAGGTGCTAAGCAACTCGGTCTCTAAATAAAATACAAAATAGGGCTGGGGATGTGGTTCAGTGGTCGAGTGCCCCTGAGTTCAATCCCCGATAGCAACAACAGCAATAACAACAAACCCAAAAACGAAACCACTTACTTTCTTGTATTTCCAGGTGAACCCGAACCTGATCAACCATTTTGAGCAGAAAGACCTAAGTTTTGTTGGTCAGGATGTTGATGGGGAGAGGATGGAAATCATCGAACTGGCGAGTAAGTGAGCTCTTTGTTTTTGAAAAGCCTTGTGTCAACCACAGACTAATTTGAGATCTAGGTTTTCGCTCTTCCTATTCCTCTTGCCTTTGAAAAAAATATGAAATTATGGGGTGTAGGAAAAACAGATGGCTTCTAGTCCTAATCATTTGGGGGTCTATTAGTCTGAATCTACTATAAAATAATGGCTTTTCCCAACTCTACCAGTTCTACAAGTAGTAGGCTTCTTTTCTCTCCCCGTCTTCCTATTCTGGGGTTTCTCCTGTATGTCAGCCTCTAGGTTAGATGCTCTGCAGAAGGCAGACAGCTCACTGTTAACTGACACTAAGCTTGTTTTCCTTCTTTGAGGATGAATGGCCACCTTGCCATTGGTGATTGCTGTTGATGTCTGTTGTGTGAAGAGCCTGGCTCCTCTCCTGTCCTTTCCCTTCTGCTCATGCTCAATGGTGAAGCTCAGGCCAGTCATTTTACTTCCAAACTTGAATCACTGCACCCAGACTTCTTTGTAAGACCAAAGAGAGCACAAAGGGATTGTATTTTTTTTTTAAATTTTTAAATTTGTTTTAATTAGTTATACATGACAGTTGAATGCATTTATGCACTTTGATATATTATACACAGAGGGGATATAATTTCTCATTTTTCTGAGTGTACATGTTGCAGAATCATATTGGTCATGTAGTCACAAATATACATACAGTAATAATATCTGTTTCTTCTACTATCTTTCCTATCCCCACATCCCCTCCCCTGCCATCACTTCCTTCTACCTAATTTTAGGTAATGCTATTCTTCTCTAGTGCCTCCCCGCCCATTGTGAATGAGCATCCGCATATTAGAGAAAACATCCAGTCTTTGGTTTTGTGAGATTGGTTTATTTCACTTAGCAGATATTCTCCAACTCTAATCACTTACTGGCAAATGCCATGAGTTCACTATTCTTTAAAGCTGAGTAATATTCCATTGAGTATGAATTCCACATTTTCTTTATCCATTCATCTGTTGAGGAACACCTAGGTTGGTTCCATAGTCTAGCTATTGTGAATTGAGCTACTATAAACATTGATGTGGCTGTGTCACTGTAGTATGCTGATTTTAAGTCCTTTGGGTCTAAACTGAGGAGTGGAATAGTTGGGTCAAATGGTGCTTCCATTTCAAGCTTTCTGAGGAATCTCCATACTGCTTTCCATAGTGGTTGCATCAATTTGCAGTCTCACCAGCAATGTATGAGTGTACCTTTTCCACCACATCCTCGCCAACATTTATTGTTGCCTGTATTCTTGATGATTGCCATTCTGACAGGAATGAGATGAAATCTTGGAGTAGTTTTGATTTGCATTTCTCTAATTACTAGAGATGTTAAACACCTTTTCATATATTTGTTGATCAATTATATTTCTTCTTCTGTGAAGTGTCTGTTCAGTTCCTTAGCCCATTTATTGATTGGGTTATTTGTTTTTTTGGTATTACGTTTTTTGAGTTCTTTATATATCCTAGAGATTAATGCTTTATTGGAGGTGCATATGGTAAAAAATTTCTCTCCTCACATTATTGTTTCCTTTGCTGGGAAGAAGCTTTTTAATTTGAATCCATCCAATTAAATGATGAATAGATAGTAGAAGAAATCAAGGATTAAATAAAAAAATTCTTAGAGATAAATGAGAACACTGATACGACATATCAAAATCTCTGGGACACTATGAAGGCAGTACTAAGAGGAAACTTTATTGTATTGAGTGCATTTATTAAAAGAATAAAAAAATCAACAAATAAGTGACCTAACACTACATCTAAAAGCCCTAGAAAAAGAAGAGCAAATCAACACCAAAAGCAGTACAAGACAGGAAATAATTAAAATCAGAGCTGAAATTAATGAAATCAAAACAAAAGAAACAATTGAAAAAATTGACAAAACAAAAAGTTAGTTCTTTGAAAAAATAAATAAGATAGATAAACCCCTGGCCATGCTAATGAAGAGAAAAAAAGAAAACTCAAATTACTAAAATAGAAGATGAAGAAGGAAATATCACAACGGACACATCTGAAATACAGAAGATAATTAGAAACTATTTTGAAAATTTATACTCTAATAAAATAGAAAATATCGAAGAAATTGACAAATTTCTAGAGACATATGACCTACCCAAACTGAATGAGGAGGTCATACATGATTTACTTTTATTTATTTATTTATTTTTGCATTGGTTATGCTTTTTTTTAAAAAAAATTATTTTTGTATTAGAATTCTTAATACACCATTATACCATAATTTATCATATCTCTGAATATATATAAGGTATGTATAAGGTATATGAAAGGAGACCCTCATCATACATGATTTAAACAGATCAATTTCAAGTAATGAAATAGAAAATGCCATCAAAAGCCTACCAACCAAGAAAAAACCAGGACCCGATGGATTATCAGCTGAGTTCTACAAGACTTTCAAAGAAAAATTAACACCAGTTTTCCTCAAAGTATACCATGAAATAGAACAGAGAACCCTTCCAAACTCATCCTTTGAAGCTAGTATCACCCTGATACCAAAACCAGACAAAGACACATCAAGGAAAGAAAACGTCAGCCCAATATCCCTGATGAACATAGACGCAAAAATTCTCAATAAAATTCTGGCAAATCACATATAAAAACATATTAAAAAGATAGTGCACCACAATCAAGTGAGATCCATCCCAGAGATGCAGGATTGGTTCAACATATGGAAATCAATAAATGTAATTCATCATATTAATAGAGTTAAAAACAAGAATCATATGATCATCTCAATCGATGCAGAAAAGGTATTTGACAAAATACAGCACATCTTCATGTTTAAAACACTGGAAAAACTAGGGATAGTAGGAATATACCTCAACATTGTAAAGGCTATATATGTTAAATCCAAGGCCAGCATCATTTTAAATGGAGAAAATTGAAAGCATTCCTGCTAAAAGCTGGAACAAGACAAGGATGTCCTCTTTCACCCCTTCTATTCAATATCATCCTTGAAATTCTAGCCAAGGATTGGATTTCTATTGTGGAAGAGCACTGAAATTGTTTGTTGCTGGGCTGGGCCACCCCTGAGAACACAGGCACAAAGCATTCATTTATTATTGATAAAACATTCAGGTCTTCAAGGACATGGTAAGCCCATGGTCACAGCTGGCCTTGGCTCTTTGACATTCGAGCCCACATAGGCCAAATCCAGCCTGCTGACTATTTTGTGTGGCTAATGAGCTGAGAATGTTTTTTACATTTTTAATGGGCTAAAAGAAGAAATGGAAGAATAATATTTGTGACACATGAAAATTATATAATTACGTGGCATTCAATTTCAGTGTCCATAAATAGTTTTATTGGAGTATAGCATAGGGGCAGAAAGGTGTTACCTTTTCCTCACCCACTGTGAGGGTCATGGTGGACACTCCTCTGACAAAAGGTTAATGAGAGAAAAGCATAACAAATTTATTTAATGAAACTTGTACATGACATAGGAACCTTCAGAAAGAAAGACCCGAGGGTCCAGGGAAAACTGTCTACTTTTATGCTTAGGTTCAGTGATGCATGGACAGCTGTGCAAATTTGATTGGATAAGAGGTTTTGGTCTAAGGCCTGTCTTCAGATTCTTCTTGGCCTCTCTGTGTATCATTCCTTCTCAAGAGATGTAGGGCAGGATCCCTCTGGAATGAGAGTCTCAGACCTACTTTCACACAAGGTAACAGAGAGGCTGAGATTTTATGACCAGAAGATCAGAGTGACCTTCTTGCTTCTGGGCCCGCCCCATCTCCTTCCATTCAGAGTACTTCTTGGTAGGGTTTTTTGAGTCTTGACAATAGCCACACTCCTTCTTAATGTTTTGTCTGTCAGTGGCAGAGATGAGCAGTTGGGAAAGAGACCTTGTGGCTTGCATAGCCTCAAATATTTATTATTTACTGATATATTTGCCAACCTCTGGTGTAGACCTGCCTGGGTGCACTTCATTTAACACACTTGAATTCAACATTTTCAGGTGCCTCCTTGCCCCATTTGTCTATCTGGATGTTCTCTTGGCACTTCCATCTCAACTTATTTAAAACTAAATTCACACCCTCTCTGACTATTCCTGTGAAGGTGTCTTATTGTCTGGAATTTCTTCTGCTGACCACCAGGGACTTTTGAAGCATGATCACCTTTGTTTCTGAGCTGTCCTATGTGTTGTAGTGGATTTAACAACATCCCTGGCCTCTAAAACTCGATGAAAATAGTAGATCTCTTCCCCTCCCTCTTACTTATGACATTCTAAAATATACGCAGACATTATTAAATATCCCTGGGAGGCACATTTACCCCTGGTTGGACCATTAGTTCTTCTTCCCCTTTACAAATTGTGATCAGTTGTTGAGTCCTGTAGGTCTGTCTCTGGAAAGAAAGATGATGTTTGAGATTGCATTTCCATTTGTGCCACCATAGTCCCAGTGCATGGTGACTCCAGCTCTGTGTCCTCAAGCCCCTCCCTTCCTCTAGTTTCTTTCCTCTCTCGTAACTCCTAATAAGGAGGACAAGGCTCTGACAAATGCAGTGCCTTTGACACTAATTTGTTGGAGTAACTTCTCTTATTTATTGAGTGCTAAGGATGTATGGGATACTCTAAAAATGGTAGCATGAGACTCTAGAGTTTACCTTTCGACCTCTATGCTTTAGGTCCCAAACTGTCTGTGTAACTTTGCTACTTCTTTCTCCATCTTAGCCCATGTCACTGTTCTCTACATCAAGTGCCTTTCTGTTCTTTGCCCTTTCTGTCTCTAATCTGTTCAAGTACTTCAGGATTCCCAAGAAGAGGGGAACTGATGTCAGAGAAGGCTCCTTTGAACATGGTAGCATTTTACCTGGACCCTGGAAGAAGGAAAGTCATGCACTCATTACATGTGTGTTACTGGACCCTTTACTGAGGACTCCACATGCCTGTGTAATTTACAAAGCAGGGATGCTTGTCTCAGTTTATAGAAGAGGCTGGAGTGAAGAGAGGTTAAGTAATATGCCCACAGGCACTGGTGGGGCTGGAGTAAGACCAGGCCCTTGCCTCCACTGCCTCCACCTTCATCTTCATTCACTACTCAGCCTAAGATTATCAATCTCTGCCTAGAGTTTTTTTTTTTTGTACCAGGGATTGAACCCAGGGTCACTTAACCACTTAGCCACATCCCCAGCCCTTTTTAAATTTTTAAGAAAATTTTGAGATAGGGTCTCACTAAGTTGCTTAGGGCCTTGCTAAGTTGCTGAGGTTGCCTTTGAACTTGTGATCTTCCTGCCTCAGCCTCCCAAACTGGGATTATAGGTGTGCTGCCACCTTGCCCAGCTCTGCCCAGAGTTTTGAGTTAGAATAGTAAGGATATATTCTAGGGATCTTTCTGATTAAAAATGCCCATCATTTAGAATTAAAGCATGTATCACTGTTTGGTGTGGAAGCCTCTTAAGTCCTTCTAGCATGTGAGAGGGCAGAGAATTTCTTAAATTACTCTTTGTTTACTTTGCTCAATTACTCATTCTCTTTTAATTCACCGGGTTCCCATTATTGTCTGCAAATACTGAGAGTCCTCTTTCATCATGAAGATTTAGATTCCCATCAGTGCTTTCAAATTTTATGCAGGTTGGAAAGAAAATGAGAGCCACTGTAAAACCTTACGATTTTTAAAAACTGACTGCAAGGAAATTTATTTTATGATGGAAGATTCCCCAGATGAAGCACATTCAGGGATCTCCACTGTCCTGAAAGGGTTCGAAGAACAACAAAGCTTGAGATTCTTACAATGTCAGAATTTGGCCGGGTGCAGTGGCGAACACCTGTAATCCTAGTGGCTTGGGAAGCTGAGACAGGAGGATCATGAGTTTAAAGGCAGCCTCAGCAAAGGCAAGGTGCTAAGCAACTCAGTGAGACCCTGTCTCTAAATAAAATACAAAATAGGGCTGGGGATGTGGCTCAGTGGTCAAGTGCCCCTGCGTTCTGGCCCAAGCACTACCACTGTACCCCCCCTCCCCGCCCCCACAAAAGAATTTGGCTTAAAGCCAAAGTAGTGATTTTGCGTGTTGGGGATGGAGCCCAGGGCCTTGCTCGTGCTAGGCAAGTGCTTTACCACTAAGCTACCCTCCACCTTGCAGCCCCTGAGAACATTGTTTTAAAGTTACTTTATCTGACTGATAGAGGATCATCAAAATTTAAAACTTTTTAGTCTTTCCTCATATTGGTGTAGAGAATTTTTTGGATAGAGTGATTCAGAACAATGATTCATTCATTCAGATATTCTATCCCTGGCTTTTACATGATCCATTTCTGAGCTTCTATCTGTTAGCGCCACAAAAACACAATTACTGTCTGCTTTCTTTCCAAGACTATGCTATAAGATTTACCCTGACTTAAATTTAAAGCTACATTGCTTAATTTCTTCTCTAAGTGTGGATGATTTCTCTTCTTTTCTTAAAGGGATGAATTCCTGGGACAAGGAATGTACTATATACCAGACGAAACTTTCATACCTAAGTATCCTTCTAATTCAAGGAGGCTTCTTCTTACATACAGAGGATTTCTGCACCGGATTTTTCTGGGATCAGAGCTGCTATGATAGAACTATTCTGCCCTGTTTAGTATGGTGGCTACTAGCCATATGTGGCTACAGAGCACTTGAAATGTGCTCGATTAATTCTAGTGAGTTCAAATAGCCACATGCTACTAGAAACTACCATTTTGTAGGCTAAATGATAACCTTAGGAAGTAGAAATTTTTTGTTCAATCATCATTTCCTTATTGCTATACAGTACCTTTGGGTCTCTAGGGGTGACAGGAATTGGTGATTTTTATTCTGTACTAGATTTTTAGACCACTTGATAAAACATCTTATTGAAAGCTTTGAAGTTATTTTATTTTTCCCATAAAGCATTTTATTTAATTATATTCAGCTTGATACATATAGCAATTATTTTTCAAATTTGGAAATACAGCATAATAACCATGCTCTGTACTATGATAATGATAGGATTAGAGAGACATGCTCAATCTATGTGCTCCATGATCTAGGAGTACACGTAGCTTTATAGAGTTGTGATTGGTGGTGGTGGTGGTGGTGAGGAATATGGAATTTCTACCCAGATTTGGAAGTGTCACCCTTTTAATTCTTTTTATTTTAAAACAAGATTCTGGATATCTGGGAAAAGCTACTTTTCTGTTCCTGTTACCTGAGGGAGAATTTGAATTCATCATATAGGGGGTTCTTATAACCTTTGATATGAAAATAGCTTAATTTTTCTTCATGATAATGTAACACATGCTCATCATGAAGGTTCACCCAATGTAGAAACATATAAGGAAGAAGAAAAGAGCTTGAACTCTTGCCACCTTGAGATGTAGCTACTGTGAACATGTTGAAAGCCTATCTTTTCATCACTCAGAGACAAGTTGGCATAGACTGAAATATGAGTACCAATTCCATTTTATGGTGTTATGATTAATACCTAACAAAGCTGTGACTAGAAAAGCAGTTGTCCTTGTTGTTTCCCAGGGGCAGCCCACTGGGTCAGCATTGTGTTTGTTTATCCCTGGGGACCCTTCCCTCAGGGACAGAGAAGACTTTACAGGAAATGGCCTGAAGCCATCTCAGAAAAAGAATGATCCTGGGTTAGCCTGCAGTCTGAGGGATACCATGGAAACAGAGCCAACACAAATCTGCAAAGGGCCTTCTAGAAGCAGGCTGACTTTGGGAAATGTACGATTCATCATGGCACTCACAAACTATCGCTTAGTTTTGCTAACACCTTCCACAGATAAAATCCTGAATTAAGTGAGATGTGCTTTATATTTAGAATTCTACTCCAGAAACGGATCATGAAAGTAACTGTGATGACAAGTTAAAAAATCATCTTAGCATTTAATGAGTTTTCTTATTCAAAGATATGAAGACCTTTCAAGCAGTTCTTATATTTGTCTGCTTCAATCACATCCTGATTGCTCTCATTTCAGATCATCCTTATTTTGTCGGTGTCCAATTCCATCCTGAGTTTTCTTCTAGGCCGATGAAGCCTTCCCCTCCATACTTGGGGCTCTTACTTGCAGCAACTGGGAACCTGAATACCTACCTGCAACAGGGATGCAAACTGTCCTCCAGGTAACCAGCTCACTACTCCTAGCAATGACCCGAGATGTGCATTTACTAGCATCTTATGTTTCTAAAATCGAATATTATCATAGCATTTTTTTTAAAGGATCAGTTTTTCACCCTTAACAAAGTTTTCTCTCCCCCAAATAATTTAATCATGTTTACAGCAATAATGTGCTAGTTCTTCAGATCATGATGACACTGGGTATTGTTTCATATAATTTTTTTTTCATTTTGATAAGTAAAAAATGACTTTCTTTTGTTGATCTTTGATTAATAATTATATATGAATATCATAGTTCTCTTGGCTCTTTGTTTTATGAAAAGATTTTCTGTTCTTTTGCTCCCTTTTCCCTTTTATATTCTTTTTCATACTGACTAGTAACTTCTTTAGTTATAAGGAAAATTAATCCTTTGTTAGATTGTATGCAGATTTTTTTCAAAATGATTTTGTTTTTCTTCTGGCTTGTTAATGGAAATTTTCATCCTTCCTAAGGCATTTTGGATAAGGACTTTATGTAGTCTCTATGTTTTTTTTTTTTTTTTTTTGGTGGAACTGGGGAAAATGAACCCAGGAGTGCTTAACCACTGAGCCACATCTACAGCCCTTTTTTTAAATTTTAATTTTTAAGATAGGGTCTCACTAAGCTGTTTAGAGCCTTGCTAAGTTGCTGAGGTTGCCTTTAAACTTGTGAGCCTCCTGAGTCACTGAGATTATAAGCATACACCACCGCACCTGGCTTTATGTATGTTTTGTAAAAGTTTATGTAAAAAAATTTTGTTTTTTTGTTCTGGGGATTGAACCCAGAGGTGCTCTACCATTGAGCTACATCCCCAACCCTTTTTTATTTTTTAATTTTGAGACAGCATCTTGATAAGTTGCTGAGGCTGGCTTCCAATTTGGAATCCTCCTGCCTCAACCCCACCCCCCCAAGTCACTGGGATTACAAGCATGTGCCACCATGCCTAGCTATTTTATAAAAAATTGTGTAGTCAATTTTTTTTACTTTTCTGGTTTCTACCTTTAGGATCATGCCTAAAGTCTTTTCCTATGCAAAGACTATTTAAATAATAACCAGGATATCTTCATCTTGCACTATTATGGTTTTGATTTTTTGGTTTAAATCTATAATCTATATGGACTTTCTTTTTAGCACAGCATTCAAGGTAGGGATCTGGCTCCCCCTCAGCTCCCTATGAATTGTAAGTTGGGCAATTTAGTTTCATTGCAGAGATTTATCTTTTGTTCAATTGATGATTTTCTCTTTCATACCTGAACCTTCACTATTCTTTTCACTGTCAGAGCATTACTGTAAAGGAAGACCTCATGTACTCTATTCCTGTTGTTCAGTTTTTAAAAATGTATTTTACTATTCTTCCAGATGAACTGTACAATGATTGTTAGATCAGGTTCAAGTAAAAACTCCTGAGGGATTTTCATGAGAACTTCATTACATTTAAATATCACTTTGGGGAGAATTTATCTCTTTATTTCTTTTTATCCAAGAATAAAGTATGCCAAAAATTTAAAAGTGGAAGGAACTCAGAATATCAGAGATTAGGAAAGGTCATTACCACAACAATCCTCTGTGCAGTTTAAAAGATTGACATTGCCAGCCCTCTTCCTAGACAACAACTCTTGAGGGCTGCCTGGCTCTATACATGGGTGTATGTGTGAGATCGTGTCACAAAAGCCTGCTTATTAATGCCATTGCTTGCTGGGAGAAGCTCACAGCTCTCTAGTATTTCCTTTAGCTGTGTATTTATATGGGAATGGTTTACATATTTTGCATGATGTGCACCTTACTGAATTAACTATTGCTACTTGCATTCTTTCAAACTTTGCCCACAGAGCTGAAGTCTGGGCGTGGGGTGAAGGCACCCTGGGCTCTTCTCTGCTTCAGCCAAGTGGCTCCACACTCTTTGGCTCATGTGCTGTGGTTCTGCATGAGAGATTTCATATGAAGAAGACCTTCCTGGGTTGTCAGGATATACAGCTGATACAGCAGATTGAAAATTCCAGGGTCATATGTGTGACATGTGTCATATGTGTGCCGTGACCCTTCACAGCCAATCATCTCTGTTATTTCACGTTCTCACACTTGAAAGGGGCGGGGGTGACAGTGGAGCGAAGTAGATGGCTGGGAGAAATTATTCACTAATAACCATCTAATTGTTTGCAAGCATTAACTAATATATGGATGTTGTCTGGTGTGTGTGGGTTGCCCACCTACATGCTGTGTGTCCTGCCAATTCCTTCTTGGAGGTTCGCCGTCTTCAATGGAAGCTTCTTGGCAGTTTCTGCTTGCTAGTGACTCCTGAGCAGGATGCAATATGTCTTGGAGAATCAGAATTCCAGCTGATTGCAGACTTCCTTGGTTGTAAGAGAATTCCTACGAATCAGCTACAAACTGGCTCATTCCTTAGAGGCAACTGGCATCTTATTTATCTTTGTCTCCCTGGCTCCCTAGCACAAGGGATTGTTTATTACCTGTTAAAGTAGTAAATACAGGTGTCAGGAAAGGATGGATGTTGTCTAGTCTGGTCTTGACACATTGCAGGAGGTTTCCCAACTAAGAATGGTGACTGTGAATTAATCCAGAGACAGATACCAGAGTGACTTCAGCTCCTCTCTGCCCAGCTCCATGGGATTAGTGCACTTTGAAAAGTAAATAACTGCTTTGATGGCCAGACTCTAATGTGAGCTGAGTTGGAGCTGAATTTCTTTCAGACAAGATTACTGCTTCTAATTGACCCTAGAACAAATGCTAGAATAATGACTTCCTTTCCCAGAAATTGGCTGATGATATTCAACTGTATGGCACATGGACAGCTGATATCTCTAAGATACAGAGTGTAAAAATCCTTGGCTTTCAGTAAGAATACCTGAGCTGTAACCTCTGCATTCTGCTTAGTGGAAGATATTTATCTTTGAGCACAAGGGAAGTTGTAGTAAGAATATTTTTTGGGGTATTTAGAGCTGGTGAGTTAACTTGTCAACCATTCCATTATCTCCAGAAAGACAGGAGTTATGAAGACCAGTTCTACTTGATTTTAGATGGGTAGTGGTCTGTTCAAGGACATGAAATTTTTAGGGTAGTGTTTTTTTTTTTTTGTGTGTGTGTGTGTGAGCTACTCAAAAAGTATATGCAAAATCAAACTGAGAGTCTGGTTTTTGGGGTCTCCCAAGACCACTTGCACATTGATGATTCTCAAGAAGGAATAAGAATACAGTTGAACTCACAGCTAATATTTATTACAGTGACACAGTAAATATATACAGCAGGCTCAGTAAGGGAAAAGATGGAAGTGGAGTCTGGAAACATCCATTTGCAGGTTTTCAGTGCTTTCTCCCTTCTGTGATAAGTCACACGGAGCTCACCCTCCTTCTAGCAGTGAATGCAAAATGTGCATGATATTTCTGCCCAGAGAAGTCTGTCTGTCTTTAGGGATTTTGTTGAGGACTGATCACGTAGAGGTTCTCTGCCTAGCAACCCCCAAATTCCAGACTCCTAGAAGGACAACTGTGTTCACTATAAATCACATTGTTTGTACAAACAACCTGGGCCCAGCAAAAGGATTTTAATCAGTTAGTAATGGAGCATACATTCTGAAAGGCACATGTATAGACACAGCTGAGAACCAACCCTGTTGCCCTTTCTAAAGATGGCTGTCTCAGGCCTGCTATGCTATCTTCTTTGTACAAGTATAACTCTAAAATATATATATATATATACACACACACACACACACACACACACATATATATAAGTTGTACTGAGACATAATACCTTTATTTTATTTATTTATTTTTATGTGGTGCTGAGGATTGAATCTAGTGCCTCGCACATGCTAGGCGAGAGCTCTACCACTGAGCCACAACTCCAGTCTTACAAGTGTAACTTATTAATTACATCATTAAACCTTTTTTTTGGGGGGGGGTACCAGGGATTGAACCCAGCAGCACTCAACTACTGAGCTACATCCCCATTCCATTTTTTTTTTTTTTTTAAAGACAGGGGTCTCACTAAGTTGCTGAGGCTGGCTTTGAATATGCAATCTTCCTGCCTCAGCCTTCTGAGCTGCTGGGATTACAGGTGTGTGCCACTGTACTTGGTTAGACCATTTTTAGAATGAATAAATCTATGGGAAATTGTGGTCCATTAAATAAAGCTTCTAATTCTTTGGTGATGTCTCTCCTCTCGTGTCTAAGTATAATTTGTCCCATGTATAAAAGGGTGGTCTTGCTGGTATAGTGGAGGGAGACTGTCTCGTGTAATTGTAAGAAAACAATTTAGACTAGTCTATGGTAGGAACTTAAATAGGAATGATGATGCTATTATTATTATTTTACCTTAATTCCAATTTCCTTCATCGCCTGCCTACTGCATAGCCTCCTACCTGGTCTTGTGCTTCTAGCTTTCCTCCTCCTAATCCATCTTCTGCCCTCAGAGTGATCTTCCCACATTATTTTGGAGCTTAAAACCCACCCTCAGTGTCTTCCCTGGGCATATAGGATAAATCCATGTGAAACAGCTTGTAGTCCTCTGAACTCCCCAGAGGGTTTTAATGTCTTTGCTTCTTGGCTTTTGATATGTATTTCTGAACTGCTTAGTGAGCTGGGAAGACCAATCTCTATCCTATCAGTATGCCAGCCCACGGGAATGGATAAGGTGGGGCATGGAGGTGAGAGTAGCCCTCTGTTTTTGGCAGAGTGGTCATTTCTCCCTCTGAGGCATGCTTACTCCATTTAGGCTTAGTCAGAGTAAGATGCTGTTTTCCCCTGCATGAATTGATATTCAATGTCCACCACCATTTCAGACTTGGAATCCTCTTGGTTTTTGACTTTTTTTTGTCTGCAAGGTTGATGTTGCCTGGGGTTGTTATTATAATATATGGTGCAAATTTTTTATTTCTGTGGGGACAGTATCAACACATAGAGTAAGTACTATGCATTTGACCTCTGGCTGTATCACTTACTGGAAAATTTTGTCCAAGTTACCACTCTT